CCGAAAAGTTCCAGGTGGTAGAAAAGAGACTTCGTATATATGCGAAACCTGCGATAGAAAACCGGGATTGCATATCGGAGAATGCTTTAAACGGTATCATACGATGGTTAATTGTAAGCTGTAAACAATAAAAAATAATGTTTAAAAAATCTTATAGTTTACTTTTATACTAGCTGCGTTATTCCGTTTATGAAAGGTTAAATTAGTGTACATTTAATAAAATTTACTTTTCCGTGTTTTTAATTTCTAACACAATCCACCCATTTTCGCGTTGTTTGCATTTCTCAATACGGGTTAAAGAAATTAATCTTTGCCAGAGATGGTATTTTCTTTATGTATTGTTAGTAAATGAAGGCTGAGTGAGTTTCGAAACATGGGAATTGCATAACAATATATAACTTTTTATTTAAAACGAAAAATATTTTTTTATTTTTTTCACGAACTGACCAATCAGCTTGTGAGTTGTCTTTTTATTAATATGATATCTACTAATTCATAAGTACGTTACGTTAGTAAGGTCATAAATGTTTTCCAAAGTAAACGCTACCAAGCGGATAAGCAACTAGTGAAATCTGCGCGGACCGGCTGGTACGAAACTGCGAATGTAGCGCGGACCGTAAAGGGTTAAATTTTTGTTTCTTATTCTTAGAAATATCTTCTGACAGTAAAATTAATATAGAATGTTTTATATGCAACATAAAGAAAGTTAATTCTTATTGAATAACTTATGATTTTTTTTTTTTAAATTATTGCATTCACTTAAGAAAAATTGTATAATATACAATTGATTTTTTGAAATTGAATTTTCCTGAATATCTAACGATATAAAAATGTATTCGATAGTTTTAGAAAGTATTTCTTTCTGCTTTTCGTTGAAAATATTTTTCTTAAACTTATATTTGTTTTTTAAACAGAAAACAAAGTATTTTGCAATATATATATATATATTTATTTATTTATTTATTTATTTATTTATTTATTAATATTAGGAAAACAAAAGGGATAGGGATGAAATAAAACACATCCTGATTTTCTTCATAGTTCGACAGTTTCTTGTTGAATCGACGATTAATTAATACGCAAATAATATCACAGTTGCGAGTCAGCGATTGACACGATCACTGCTCGTTGCTTTTTCTTACATTCCCTGGAACACGACACCCTGGCACTCGGAATCCAGGTTTGATTCAAGCGTTCTTTTTGTTAGTAATAATTAAATAACGACCCCTAAAAATTAATACGTGTTCGCTTAACTTACTCCCATTTCGTCGATTACTTACTCCGAACTGTTCGTCAATATTAGTTGAAGAAATAATTGTGTTTACCATGTTTTCGTTTTACAATCTTGTCGCGTTATTCGATTTAATTTAAATTAAATTTCAGTTAAAAATTGATACTCCATGATTATTTGAATTTAAACTCGATTTAAATTAACGGTTCAGTGAAATGATGACTCGTACATTTTATTTTAATATATCGTCGTCTGACTTTAATTATGAAACGATAAGTAGAAAGATCCTACAGTTGAGCGAATTTTGAAGGATCTGCAATTGAGCGGATCGGCCTTTTCTTCTATTTGTTTCTAGGTAATTGAGTGACTCGATTTTAGGAGTTAGGATCGCGTTCGTGCTATCTATTAGGACCTTAACTAAAGCTAGCTTATTACGTGAATGTAATTACTGAATTTTCACGTGCCACACGTGAAACGCGGTGCAATACAGCCTTTGAAACATTATCTCTGACCGAGAACGTCTAATGGAGTCGTCCTAACACTCTAAATGATAATATACATGTAAGTACATTATAAATACGAATAATTCCATCGATCGTGATGGAGAAAATCTTAAACATTAAACGCTTCGCAAACATTAATTCATCCCTGATATCATTCATCTCGTAGTTTGCACTCTTCTGTCTCGTCGTTGGTCCAATTTGATCCACGATTATTCGATTTAACAATTTCCATCGGGCCTAGTGGTACTTGTCGCGAATTCTCACTGTAATCAGAAGCAAAAAGCACCGGAGACTGATGGAGACTAGGCTTAAAAACACTTGATATAGGCAACATTGCTTCTGAGATTCTGAAGTGGAGCTTTCGAATCAATTAACATCACTTCAGGGGGTACTTACTTTCCATGTAGAGAATCCCGAGAAGCAGACCGATCATGAATAGGAAGCTCATCGTGCAGACGAGCACAGTAAGCTGATTTCTCGCGCAGCAGGACTTCCTGTAAACGGTTGTTGGTCTGCCTAGGCCGTTCACCACAGTGAAGTGAGTACTGCTCGCCACCGATGCGGTATCCATTTGTTTCTGCGCCGTCACCGTGGGCGGATGAATCGCTGCAAGATTGGCTAGGTTTGCAGCTGTCAGGAGTAACGTGCCCGACGCGGCGCTCTGTAACGACACGTTCATTAAATTAATTAATTCGGTCAACGAATTTTAAAATCTCTTAATTGTTCTATTCTAATCTCTGTACTTCTTCTACCAACTAAGACTCTAATTAACACTTTTGCTATTGCACTTCAAATCATTTCCTTCCATTTACATTT